CACAAATGTGAATATTGACTTTGTTATATCTCTGCATGTAAAAACGAATTTGTTTCCATCAATCATAAGGTATGCAATGGATACGCGCGCACAACCCTCGCGCGGCTACCACTTCTCAAGTGGCTGGACTGCCGCCGCGTGCTGCCTACTGATCGCTCCGAGGAACCATTTGAACCGCATCCTGACGATCTAAGGGCGGCATTCTTCACATTTACAGTATTCAGGGTGATGTCAGCGCCATCACCGCCTAAACCCGAAAAGGTTGAAGATATTCTAATAAATTAGTAGTTCGTTGGCGTAGTGGATTAGCGCCGCGACCCGCGATTTATTTTACTAAGGAACCAAAAATAAATATTATCTTTAGCTACGCCGTACTTCAAAAGAATTAAGCCGTTGGTCCCGGCTGTATTTGCAGTTGTTAATATTTTCCAATCCGCTTTGGGCCAACATTATGTCCCATGGAGGTTTAGTATGGGACAACGGGTAATGTCCCATCCTAAACCTCCATCCATAAGGAAGGCTTGATCACCGCATCAAAACGTAAAAGGGCTGATAATGATTCTAAAAAATATTATATTTCGTTTAAAACCGGACACTAATAAAATATTAAGTAAATATTTTAATACCTCAAAGTATATAATATTATCAGATGCTTTTGACCTGGTTAAAAAAATGACATTTGTTTTGGAGCTCGTTCAAGTATAATTTTATTCGATGGGTAGACGATAAATAAAAAAATAAGAGCATAATAAAGAAGGGGAGAAATTTATTAACATGTGGTATGCAATTAACATGAGTTTGAATTATTGGATTCACTTGGAATTATTGGAACCAGGAATATATAATTTTACCTAAAAGAGACACCTGAACTTTTGACTATCAAAGAAAAAGAAATTCGTACGCACAATAGACCTAGGTACTCTCCAAAAGTATAATCACATTTGTTTTTTCTTTCGGATTACTTCCTTAACGTTTAAAATCAAAAAGAATATCATCCAAGTATCTCAATTACAGAATCAGAACAGTTTCGTAGTAGTTTCCATAAATAACATGCAGATGATGTCGTGTTTAAAAAGTATATAGCATTGAAGACTAAAAATAAACTTTAAAGAAAAGTTTTTATGTAAACACTCTAAAAACAGAAAATAAAATTTTCCTTTTAAATTTACCTACCAACTTATAACCTCTCAACCTCAACTTATGTACCAAATCAATTACGTAAAATTTGCTAAATTTAATTTTTAAAATTTCAATTTCATCTAATATTGAACCACGCGACTAGCTTTTATGATCATATGCATGTAATGAGGTTAGGAGTTGGTGGTTACAATTTAAAATGAAATTTTCATTTTATTATTTTTAAAGCGTTTAAATAAAAGTTAATAAGTTTTTGTTATAATTTATTTTTAGTTATCACTGACTACTGATTTAGAATGACGCCACATTATTTTCTAGTCACTCTCAACGAGCCCTTTCATTTGATACCCATATTGAAGAAGTGCATTAAAAATAACTATTCAGCCATCTTGAATGGTTCGCCATATTGGATTTAGAATGACGTCACATCTTATCATGCATTATTATCCAAACTAAACGTGTATACAAAATTTCAGCTCAATCTATTGAAGATATCTAGTTCAAAATTGAGTTCAATAACTCCACCCGAACAAACATACTTACATACATTGCAAGTCTTTTGCAAGCTTTTAATAAAAGAACAATTAAACATTTTGAAGTTAAAATTTCTTTATTTTTATTTGACAAAGAACCGACGTCACCTTTTGTTCGTTAATATCAAAGTGTTGTCGTGTTAAATTATTTTAAACTGTGATAAAGTATGACTAAAATTAATTTCTACGAATTCTGATGATGTTTGATATTTTTGTTGGCTTACAGAGTACGTACCTACGTATCTGAGAATAAAATTATTCAAAAAATTTTTTTGTAAGTTTTGTTATGAAGTCTTAGGAGAGTCGTCATTGATAGATAGCTTGAGCATGATATTTTCTCTGTATATTTTTGATGATAATTACCATGAAATTGGCTTATTTTAGACTAGCTCTCGGCCAGCGGCATCACCCGCATGGCCCTGTATTATACATAATTCTTTTCTTTCATTTGAATAACTCTGTATATTGATGACAACCGCATTAAAATTCTCAGTGTAGTTTAAAAGATCTCTGTATAATATTATAATTGAATGACAAAATAATTAGGTCAATGAATAAACAACATTATGAAAAATGGGTAGATATCATAACGGTAAGTAACATGATTAAACTTCATCCCAGGGAGCAATGACAACTTTCCATGTGGAACTGGAGCTACCTCTGCTTGACTCTACAAGACGCAAGTTTCTCTTATTTCGTAATTATGATTCTTTGGTTGAGATGCTGCCACCCCCTGAAGATGGTGATTGGGAAGACATGAAACTGCCTTCCATTGTTATCGATAGCAAGAGTGGTTTAGGTACGGATAATAATAGAGATAATTGTTATACTGTTAAGGGTGACATACCATAGAAGTGAAGTTAGAAGCTTTGAAGCGACAGAAGCGACAACGGCCATTGAAGTGAAATGAGATGGCGAAGAGTAGAGTATAGTGAAGTTAATGAGTAGCTCGGTGGCGTAGTGGATAAGCGCCGCGGCCCGCGATCGTAGTCGTTAAGCAACTTTCGCAAGGGTGACCAAAATATTATTATCTCGAGCTACTCCGTGCTTCGGAAGGCACGTTAAGCCGTTGGTCCCGGCTGCATTTGCAGTCGTTAATACCCTCCAATCCGCATTGGGCCTGCGTGGAGGGTCATGGCCCATCCTCCTTAACCATCCATAAGGAAGGCCTGAGCCCCTGCAGTGGGGACGTAAAAGGGCTGGTGATGTGAATCCGAGCTGAATGGTGCTGGTATATCTGTTTGCTCGCGTACTATAAGCTAAACGCTACTCTGCCCCTTACTTTGCTACTCTAACCGCATTTTTTTTTACTACAAAAATTAATACCGAAACATACTCATAAACTCCTACAGATCGTTGGGAGACGTAGAAATAAAATATTTTTATAAAATAATGGAGTGAAACAAAAATAATAAAATGCGATATGCTGATATGCCCAAAAGTCAAGCTATGCCATTTTGAGGAATCCAAAATGAAAACGTGATAAATTATTTAAAATTGTTTTAACTGTACATAGTTAAAGCTCTAATTCTACTACTATTTAGTCTTAATTTTATATTTCAATATTTTTAAATCTGCATAATTCTATTTAAAGATCCTGAACAGTCTCCACATGAGTCCGACATCTATAAGAACCTAACCATCAAGAACTCTAGAGAGATCCTACACTACACCACTTTTGAGACCAACAAGGTGCAATGGAACAAAGTGATGAACTTCCAGGAGCCAGCGATTAAACTCTTCTGTCCAGATTTGATGGCACTCAGAGACACATTCAGAACTGTTGTCACTCTACGATTAGTCTATTCTGTGGTAAATTACATCTCGTATTGACTATATGTACCAGGGTTTTCTCAAACTTTTGGCTCCACAAACTATTCCAAATAATATTTCCAAATGACAATTAGAAAAATAAAAGATTCCAAATGACAATTAGAAAGTTAACTAAGTTAATGAAGAAGTTAAGGTTTTTCTTTATTAAATTTGATCAATTTTTGCATTCACAATGCTATACTGAAAAATATTCTAAATGAAAAATGCTTAAAAAATCTGCTTTGTCTCTGGCACTCTGAGATGGGACTCGAACCCATGACCTTTCGAAATCCGGGTGACTGCTCTAACCACTGAGCGATCCAGAACCTAACAGGACTGGTGAATTTTTCAAGCACTTGTAAATTGTTCGCTACTGCAGAGCGTATTTTCATCAATATTCAGGCAATCAATCCAAATCAGTCGCCTGGATTGCTAAAGGTCATGGGTTCAAATTCTATTACAGAGTGCCAACGACAAACTTAATTTTTAAAGTATTTTTCATAAAAAATAAGAAGGTTTTTATTTAAAAAGTTAACAAAAACACGAAAGATTTTTTTTTTAAATATTAATGTGATGTTTCTTGTCTCAGATTCAGTCAATTTTATGAGTAATTTGGACAATCCTAACTTTCTTCGTCAAGCAATAGTGGCACGAACCCTTAGGGGTTCGCGTACCCCACTTTGAGAAACCCTGGACTATACCATAACATACACAAATCAATTGGTAAAGTGAAAAGTCATCATTCCTATCGAATTAAACATATCGTTTCTTACAGACCATAACAGGCAAGCAAGGTAAACCAGATAAGCAAGGTAAGAGTGCTCATTCCATCAAACCGCCCTCTGAACAAAGAGTAACATTGGCCACTATCAAGTGCGCCCTTCGCCAGCCAGACTGGAGTCAACCCTCACAACATTTTCACTGGGATGATTCTTTAGACACCACTGATGCCATACATTGGGGCGATGGGGACCTTTCAGTGAGAAACAATACATTAAATCAAAAACTAACAATCAGACTTTACTATTTTCCTAGAATGAACTAATTAATCTGTTCAATTTTTTAAGGTTCTCCAATATAGTCAGGCACCAGTAAAAGTAGCAAAAGGTAAACAGGATACCGATGTCGGACCATCGTCGAGACAACTACCACCTGAAAATCTGACGTGTCATTTTGGATTTGGAATAGAAACATTGAAACTGTAAAACCATAATTCACAAGAAACTCCTTATATATAAACATCACGTCCTTAGTATATACTTTGAGCTAAAGCGTATCTGGTTCCCATGGCTACATACGCAGCGATATCCTACTATTATTATCCTATTAAATAAAGATCTCGGCTAACAATATCATTTGTATCGGTATCTTGAAGGAGATAAGAGTCCTCCCAAATATTATTTTTAGAAAGTAGTCCTCATCCAAACATATCATATAACTATTTTGAGTTTAAAGTATATATCCTCAATTAAGTGTTTAAGTTCAAAGAGGTTTTGCAATTGGGTTATTTGACCGTCAATGGCAGAGGGTCCGCACGAGCGATGGGGCAGTCAATTAGAATATTTACTCTCGTGTCTCGGTTACGCAGTTGGAATTGGAAACATATGGAGATTTCCATACTTGTGTTATAGAAATGGCGGAGGTGAGTAATAATATGTTAACGGAATTTACTATAAAAACTCTTGGCAAATCACATAATGATATTATTTGTAGGAGCGTTTCTGATTCCATATTTCCTGACTTTGTTCCTCTGTGGCATACCACTTGTGTATTTGGAGACAACATTAGGACAATTTGCTAGTGCAGGATGTATTTCCGTGTTCAATATAAATCCATTATTCAAAGGTAAGAATCCAAAATATTTAAAAAAATCATGAACAATAACATAATTATGCTAACGTTACCACTGCATAAAACGTTCAGCTATTCTATTAAATTTGAATACCAAAAACGATATTAAAGAATGAACCACAATCACGAAATATACGTATCCATTGTTTCATGAAATCATATTGTTATTTCAATATTGTTTACAGGTGCTGGTTATGCTACAGTGGTGTTAAATATAATAGCAACTGTATATTTCTCCACGATTATGGCATATCCCATACTTTATATGTATCATTCGTTCAGTTCGCCTTTACCTTGGCAAAATTGTGGCAATTCGTGGAATACCGAGAAATGTACTGAGGTACGCATTAAATATAGATTTGAATGTGCTTTAGTTAATGTGTGTATTTCTCACGATCATTTTCTTAGATTACAGAGGTTACGAATGCATCTAACGGGTCAATTACCACTCCAGAAGATGAATTCTTTCAGTAAGAAATTGAATAATAAATTTTTATTTTTGTCTATATTGTCCTCCGTCTTATTATTTGCTATAATTACAGCATAAGGCTTTTGCGAATGTCCTCGACCATTAATGAGATTGGAGATATTGTGTGGCCCGTTTTTTGGTGTAATGTCATCTGTTGGGTCGTCGTTTATCTCTGCATCTGTAATGGTGTCAAGAGCGTCGGAAAGGTAACTCTTGTTCAGTTCAGTTGGCACAATGCCGTGCTGTCAATCACTTTGAAAACATTAATATTTTTGGTAAATAAACGCTACCAATGTTTTCAGATCGTATACTTCACGGTGTCCTTTCCTTACATAGTACTATGCATACTATTTATACGTGGAGTCACTCTACCGGGAGCTTGGCAAGGCATAAAGTTTTATATTTTACCAGACTGGGAACAACTGAAGAATCCAAAAGTAAGTTTAGTATTTATAATGGTACATTATCACATAATGTTCTATAACATAAACGAATATTACTTATTTTTCAGGTTTGGGCAGATGCTGCAACACAGCTATTTTATTCTCTAGGTCCAGGATGGGGTGGTTTAGTAAGCATGGCTAGCTTTAATAGATTCCATTATAGGAACTTACGGTAAGTATGATCCTACTGATATGGATTTGATATTTTTATTTAAGTCATAATAAGTAATGTCATATATATTTTTACAGTTCCTCGATAATTATACCTCTCGTAAACAGCGGTACTAGTATTTGGGCAGGATTTGTAGTCTTCTCGGTCCTTGGTTTTGCTGCAGAGCGAGCTGGTGTTCCTGTGGGTCAGGTGGCTACTGCAGGTCCTGGTCTAGCATTCATCACATACCCAGCCGCAGTTTCTATGATGCCGGCTCCAAATTTCTTTGCGTTGGCGTTCTTTACTATGTTATTTTTTCTTGGAATTGACACAATGGTTTGTTTCTTGGAATTGACACAATGGAAATCTAATAATGTTTATTTGTAGTAGTAAAAGTGAAAAAAATAGTCCTAATATCTGCTTCGCCTTGAACTGTGTACAAATTAGTCGATTTCTTTCAGTGATAAAAATATATTACGTAATAAATTTCATAAATATTTCAGTTCGTGACCATTGAAGCAGTAATTGCAGGAGTTGTGGACGAGTCGCCGAAGCTTAAAGAAAGGAAAGGGCTCGTCACGTTTCTCACTTGTCTGGTTACGTTTTGCTTGTCAATAATATGTAACACTGAGGTGGGTATACAAAATAAATATTAGATATAAATCGTAGAAAATGATATAAAATGCTATTGTTATCGATTTTATCAGTTTTATTTTTATTTTAAATCGCCCAATTAAATATATAGTATATTGAATAAAGTCCAGAGCTTACATGATAACTCAAATTCGTCAAAACATAGCAAGAGTTGCTTCTTATTATAGTAAAACTTGCGTTTATTAAGTTATAATACACTGCAGGATATATTACCTTGACGACTTGATGCATATAGCAATAGGGTCTAGAGTCTAGACAATTTTTATGATTGAATCGAAGCAATCGCAATAAATCAGTAACCGCAAATTTCACTACATTTGAACACGAAAACGCTGAAACGCCACACGATTTAGGTGTGCCCGGATACACCTAAATCCCCCTTTTCAGTTTCATTTTACTGCACCATAAATGTTAACGTTATATTTCAAAGTTGTTAGATAAACAACCCCTTTTTCCATAAGGTAAAAGATTTAAATTGCAAATAATAATTTAAATTTACAGTAAGCAAGAAGACGGAGCTTGAGCCTATTTACCTTGGTAGTTTATACAGAATCTACGCTAATATTAAACAAAGTGATCATAGTATAAACACAATAATTAAATATTGGGATTTTATATACAGTAAAATATTTATGGATAGCTTTATTCGCGTGGTGACTGAATAATACTTACATAGGTTTTACATTTACATTTCGAAAATTTAATATCGACAACATGTCAGATTACAAAGAAAGAATAAATTTTACAAAACAAGTTTTTGCTTTATAGTATTGAAAATTAAGTTAATATAATTTTTTTAACTTGATGTGCTTCTGTGTGTACATAACTTTTCCAATTCGTGTTCCCTGTGCTTTTGGTGATAAATGCCGCATTTGCATTTGCCCCTTTATAAGTATGTATAATATTTACTAGGTTAGATAGAATTGGAAAACATTCTAATTAAGGTTAATTTTACAATACCAGGGTGGTCTTCATGTTATTGGTCTTCTGGACTCTCATGTGGCCATTGCTTGCGTGCCAATAGTGTGCCTGCTGGAGGTCATAGCAGCAGTATATACGTACGGACCTAAGAAACTTAGCCAGGACGTACTGTTTATGACTGGGGAACCTTTAAATCGGTTCTGGATTTGCCAGTGGAGGTATATTGTCCCGATAATTTTGATAGTAAGTACACCGTTATTTGAAATTTTAACATAAAACATTCAACAAACTAAATTGTTCACATCACACTAAACAATTCATTCAGAGAACATAATTCGTATAATAAAATAACACTTGAACGAACTTCTCCAAATTAAGGACAACCGAACGACCACGGCACCTACACAACTTAAACTTGTTCAAGAGTTTCTTTATTTAGTTTATTATAACAACATAAAAATAGTACTACATATTTAGGTATTTGTAAGAATTCTATTTCTCCAAAAACGAAATTTCATGTATATTCCAATTGCTAATACGGTTCCAAAAAAAATCTATTTTTTCGATAATTTATCAAGCAACGTATGCTGTATGCTCTAATGCACAGATCATCTTCACGGATATGATTGCGAACTTTTGTTCGAGGATAAAATGAATAGGCCTTCAGGTGCCACATTAATTCGTCGAGTTATAGTTTTTGTTTTATTTTTTTGTCAGGTTGTTTTAGCTTCAACACTGCCAGAGGCATCAGGTCTAGCTGGTTGGTGCGTTGCTCTCTCTTCTGTCTCACTCATTCCTATTTATGCCGCTGCAGTTATATACAAATCTAAAGGAACATTTTTAGAGGTAAATTGATTTGGACATTCTGATGAATCCTACATTCCTGTCATATGTGATACAAAGTCTCCCGCGTCCTAAATGCAGGCCAATACATATGCCATCTCAAGTGCGCGCGTTATGGTACACCCTTTCTCTTATACTAGTCTTATCGACCAATGAAAACTGTGCTTTAAAACAGGAAGGAGCTAAAAATTATGCTAATAATCTATGCACGCAATCCATTTTGCCCTTTATTTACCTGAACAAAATTGCTCCATAGGAATAATACAGCCTTGCGCATAATTTATTTTCTATCTTCTTTTTAACGTGTCCTGTGTAGACTTTAATAGAATATCATTATTATTATATGAATAATATCGTGAACTTCTTTAGCTTACATCAAGGCTAGCAGAAGTGCCTGTAATGAGAAGAAGCGAAGATTATATCATAACAATAAAACTCTTCTTTTTTATACTAAATTAATGAGGGAGTATTAAAAAAAAAACATTACTTCCCGAAATTAAACTAGATGTCACTACGGTACTTTCTTAATTTCTCCATGACATCCTTTCCGGTTTTCTTACATGTTTAAAAGTAAATTAGTTTGCAAAATTCAATAAAATTTTTATTTTATCTGGCCTGGTTGTTTTTGTGTCCTTAATACTTTACATGATTAACTTGGGATCAAAGCAGTATATGTCTATGTTATTTCTGTTTTTTATTTTCAATTCGCGTTTATCGCAAGTCGTTTAATAATAAATGCGTTAATATATGCACTGCATTAAAGGTCAATCTTGAATGATTTTATACTTTTCAATGTATAAAATCATATAATATGTACCCTAGTACAACCCTTATTAAACCTATTTTATTAAGTGTTACTATCAAAACTAATTGTGTTTATTGTCAGCGCATCCGTGAGAGCATCCAACCGAACAAACAGTGGGGTCCAGCATATGTAGAGACCCGCCGACGTTGGATGGCCTCTAAAAGAGAAAACAACATGGCAGTCTTCCTCAATGAACTCGATAATTTCGCTTGATATATGTAATGAGTATATTAAAAATACATTATTATTTTCTAATAAAATTGTTTTCATGTTGTTTTCATTTTAAACGAACCATAAAAGCGACTGTAAATTATAACTCATATTATAGATAATTTAATCGAATACTAACAAAATAGAAAATGATGGAAAACACTCAATCCATGATACTTTATAGATGTTTCTGAACTCAAATAAAAACAATTCTTATAAGTTCCTGAATATATCCTTTCAGTGATGCAATGAATACAAATATTCATTTTCAAATAAACCGAATATCAATTATAATATTCGTATTTGCTCTAGTAATATTCATATCATCACATCACTATATTTTTTTCATCTCATAAATTAATAAATCTATTATTGTGTGCACCGGGCGTGCACCAGGTATGTGTGTAGTGCTGTAGTACAGCCTTATTTTTATTTATACCATAGAGCAACCATATACTGAATGTCTATTGACAAATCATTTATGGCATCAAAATCTGAAAGTTAACTATATAGTTATATTTTAGAATTCAAAATTTTAGTAAAATCATAACAAATTAATATAAATATTTACCCGGCATAACTGCCACCTTTCGATATAAGTTAAATTTTAGTGAAAAAGCATAACAATGGGTGAAAAATCAGGAGATGATAAAGACAAAAGGGTCAAAATCAATGTTAGTTATTTTATGTTACTCAAAACAACTCGCACACAAATATTACAAAAACTAAACGAGAATAAAACAAACCTTACATACGTTATAATAATTATAGGTATTTATCAAACTACTAAAGCAGAAACTAGAGAGACAATGATTTTTTACGTCTCACCTTACATATAATAGTTTGAGTTTATTAGAAACGACTGTATCGAATGAATTAGCATCTTTAGCAACATACTATAAAAATATTTTAGGTAACAAAGAATGGATTAACTAATCTAGTCAAAAATAAACTACTGTTTGCTTCATTACTCCTAAAAAATATATAAAGTCATGTGAATAAAAAAAATATATTTTCATTTTAAATATGAATTTATGTCATTATTAATAAATGAAACATGTCTTGAAATGTGTACATAATATCTCACTTAATCTAAAAACTAGCTTCTATTTTTTTTATTTATTTACAATGGGCTCACTCTTGACCTCAATCTAGCCTAAGGACATAGATGAGATCTATGGTGGAACGAGCTTGCCCAGAAGGAACCTATTCACTCTTGCTTTAAATAGGTCTGTGTTATATGTATTTTAAACATCGACCATATTTTATGATTTAATTGATGATATTTCCTAGAATTTTTGACGATGTTACTTGCCAAATTTCATAATTCTAGGTCAAGGAGCAGTACCCTAATAATTTTGATTTCCTTGAGAGTGTCAAAATTATGCCTTTTTTTGGATAATCGACCATATCATTTTGCAATATTAACTTTGTACTCTTATTTATTCACCGCTTGAAGGGACTGTATAGTTTTAATTTCTTTGACATATGATATACTGTTTTTGAAGTCTTGACAAACAGACGGACATATCTACAACAAAGTGACCTTTTAAAAGTTCGGTTTTATGTGATTGAGCTACGGGACCGTATAAATCTAGATGGTACTGTTATAACCCAACATTGTACTTGAGAATAGCTGACAACACGTTCAGTACTTTTCCATAAAAACCATGTAAATGTAAAGTGCAAGATTGCATATTCCATTATTATAATAATTTTAATATTTTAAAGTTAGTTCGGCATTAGCAACCGCGAAGAGCAGTCCTCATTAGCTCTCCACGTTTCGGGATCTAGGAATCAGTGTGTTGGTTATCCTAATAAAAGTAGGAATAGTAATTGTGGTTTTTTTTAAAAAGACGAATAGAGCGAGCCGCAAAACAGTACCAAAAATATTATTGCAAAGAAAAACACGGAACGTAGATAACTTTTTATTAATAATTAATTAACTAAGTCTACTATATGTTTGTATCTGTAAATAGCAATGATATTACAATAAAAAAGGGTAGATAGGTTATATAAGAACAGATACGATGTCCAAAATTGTCCATAGCATACACACACACACACATGACACAATACACTCCAAACATTCATAGAATATAATCCAACACGTCACAGACCAGACTTATAATGCATGTTTAATGCCTACTTTTAACTTAATGAGTTAAAGATGATCATATCTAGCATTACTCTATTATTTATTCTTGTCGTTGGTGTATATATTATTTGCCCGTGTATAAATAATGAAACTTTACAAGGGATAAAATAAACCTGACACTGATATATAATATGTATAGTAACACGAGGGCTTCGATCGAAATCGGAATTGAAATATTTTTCAGCTACGGAGTTCACGATTCGATGCTCCGAATTCAAACTCTGGAGCTCCGGAGTTTCAGTCTTATATATTTTCAAATAAATGTGTGTCGAATTATACGTAATGTTATTTACATAGTCTTTGGCAGATCTCATTCAGGATTTGAGACCAGATTTTTTTATAACACATTATATAATTTCTGAAACAAATCAAATCAATTAAAAATGTAATTTCTACAGTTTCACATAATAGCACGGCATTTTTAAAATGTTTTTAATTCATAAACACACACAATCAACGCTTTCGCCAGACTGCGTCAGGCTGATCAGCAAAGTTTTAAGGTGACTTTTTAAATACAAGTAACCTATCTACCCTTTTTCTATTATAATATCATTGGTTAATAGTGGAGTATTAAAAATTGGTGGCCCTATCGCTTAATTTCTTTCAGATAACCTTAACCAACATAAAAACGTAGTGCAAAAAAGTAGACTCAGCGTTGTACTGAATAAAATACGCATTTTTTATTATTAACTAATAATAAAGATCATAAGTTGATTTTGACTAATCGATTATCTGTTTAAGTCAAGAGTGAAATAGATCCCTTTTGGACAACCTCGTTCCACCGTAGATCTCAATTGTCCTTTGGCTAGGCCGAGATAAAGAGTGAGTCCATTACATATGTATATAAAGAGGAAGCTGGGTAGTGGAGACCGAGTCGTTTTAAAATGGTGGTTAGTTGAAATAATCCCAATTTTTCGAAACCGTTAGCATGTTGGCATCATCGCATATTAACTGCTTACAGTAGTTGCAAATTAGAGTTATTTCAACTCACCTCGTTTTTAAAATCCGGTATAATGAATGGCTAAAAAAATATTTTAAACTTTATTTATTAGCTTCTACATATAATAAGTTATGCCAGGTGGAAGGTGAAGATGACGCTGTGGAAGGTGAGATGGGGCGTAAAAAGATGAAGCGGTTTCAGTTGCCAAACCTGCCGCGCTGGTGGCAGGCGAAAATCATCCAATATGCGTTAGTTGACAGATCAATTGTTTTTAATTAATTAGCAACCTTATTTTAGTGATTGATTTCATTAACGTACAAACTTAAAAACAACGTAGATTTCTGTAACATAAAATATTATTTTGAAGATTATGATCTTATTTAATCATCGGTGGTTTCTTTTTATTGATAAAAGTTTTTTTTTTACCAACACGGGCCAACATCATAATAATATTTTCATTTCTGCAGAAGCAATGTTACCCAATGAGATCAAAGCGATGTCTTTTAAGTTTATCGATACTTACATTTATTTATTTAGTTTAGCATGATCGTAAACCAATCAATAGTCGTCTTGACCTACTTTTGACAACTCTTGAAGGCCCCGTAAGGATAGTTGGAGGTATGTAATTATTTAGATACTATGAAGGACGTTTACAAAAGCATCCGGCTGACCTGGTCGTGACCCGCGACGTTGGCGCCATCCGGGTCACCCGCCGAAACAGGTGCACTCGTCACCCGGGTCACATCACCACACTTGTAACCGAGTAAACATTTAATCATAAACTACCGCGAACAAACGGCTGAATGCTCGTAATATCGTTTCTTATTTGAAAATATAATAGTTGAATACTAAATAGAATCGCTGTAGTTTTCATAAATGCAACATCGATACATCGGTGCCCGTTCGACGGCGGGATAGCATCGAAAGCAATTGAAAAAGCCAATCAAACGCTCAAAGTGTCAGCACTTTCCGTTGTGATACGTTCAATGCAAAAGAAATTACCGTTGAATGTGTCTAGGCAAATTAATGATCGCGTGTGAACACGTGCGGTGTGGAGGCTCGAAGCGGGGGTGGTTGGTTAACGGCGAGGATAATGGCGGCGGCAGTCATTGCACCTTAGGCCGCGGAACGAACAGCTTGCACTAGACTTGCAACATGCTGCGAACACCCTCGAGCGTCTCTGAAGGCTCGTTCTGGACGACCATAGAGCTACTCGCGGACCGTGGCCGCCGGCGATCTGCGGGAGATGCAGAAGATTATTCGACTGCAGTCGATCTCTCATCGAGGACAGTTTCTTCCTTCAGGTGCCCATTCATTAAACATTTGCATGTCAGATTGCAGATCAAACGTTTGGGTGCTGTCAACATCTACATATTCGCCTACTACCTATTATTAAAAAAAATAACATAATCATGTTTAATAGTACAAATATAGTTTATCGTCACCCTTATTCCCTTTATAATTTTTAAATGTTACCAGTTTATGTAGTTAGCGTGACTATTTGAATTCTTTTCCAGTTTCCAATGTGAGTTCCTTGTACTTAAGTCAGGGAAATTTAATTTATTTATGGGATCTCTCCGGGCAAAATGATTCACGAAGCCGCCTTTAAAGAGCGTTTCGTTTCACGTCCCGTATTATGAATGAAAGGAAATACCAAATACCGAATGGTTTGTTGAAACTCGTGCCAAAATTAAAATAAAAACACACTCACTTTAAACGTTAACGAAAACGTAATGTTATTAATATCATCAAATATAGTTTTACATCAAATTAAGTATTATATTTGATCAATTTCGCATTCATAATGCTATACTGGAAAATATTCTTAATAATAATGCTTAAAATCCACTTTGTCCGTGGCACTTTAGTATTAAATTAACTCCATTAGCTATTAGCGCTAAAAGG